CCTTTGAGCCCATCCACGGAACCCCTACTTTCTTGCAGAATGGAGAACTCAAGGACTTCCAAGTCAAAGGTCTAAACTTCTTGGCTTTCAATTGGGTCAGGGGTCGCAATGTTGTCTTGGCAGATGAGATGGGTCTAGGAAAGACAGTCCAAACTGTCGCATTCATCAACTGGATGCGCCATGTCAGGCGGCAGCAAGGGCCGTTCATTGTCATCGTCCCCCTGTCTACTATGCCGGCATGGGCTGATACCTTTGATCACTGGACACCGGACTTGAACTACGTTGTTTACAATGGCAGTGAAAAGGCGCGCTCCGTGTTGCGCGATTATGAATTGATGGTCGATGGGAATCCCAAACGTCCAAAGTTCCATGTTCTGTTGACAACTTACGAGTATGCAATGAATGACTCACCGTTCCTCGGCCAATTCAAGTGGCAATTCATGGCAGTGGATGAGGCGCACCGTCTCAAGAATCGCGATTCACAACTTTACATGAAGTTGTTCGAATGGAAATGCCAGGCACGCCTCTTGATTACTGGTACCCCAATCCAAAACAACCTTGCTGAGCTTTCAGCATTAATGGATTTCCTCAATCCGGGCCTCATTGAAGTCGACGTCGACATGGATTTGAATTCCGAGGCAGCGTCTCAAAAACTCGCGGAATTAACTACCGCCATTCAGCCTTACATGTTGCGGCGTACCAAGTCCAAGGTTGAGTCGGATCTTCCCCCGAAAACTGAGAAAATCATTCGAGTGGAGCTCTCCGATGTCCAATTAGAATACTACAAGAATATCTTGACCAAAAACTACGCAGCGCTCAACGACGGGAACAAGGGAATGAAGCAGTCTCTTTTGAACATCATGATGGAATTGAAAAAGGCTAGCAACCACCCATTTATGTTCCCCAACGCAGAAGCAAAGATTCTGGAAGGTAGTACTCGTCGAGAAGATATTCTTCGAGCGATGATCACCAGCAGTGGAAAGATGATGCTTCTCGATCAACTCCTCCGCAAGTTGAGCGTTGATGGCCATCGAGTGTTGATCTTCTGCCAGATGGTTGGCATGCTTAACATTCTGAGTGAGTATATGGAGTACCGTGGTTACAAATATCAACGGCTCGATGGAACTATCCCGTCCGCTGCCCGTCGCTTGGCAATTGAGCATTACAATGCTCCCGGTAGCACCGACTTTGCATTCCTTCTTTCAACCCGCGCAGGTGGTCTCGGTATCAACCTTATGACCGCAGACACTGTCGTTCTGTTCGATTCGGATTGGAACCCCCAGGCAGATTTGCAAGCTATGGCGCGTGCTCATCGAATCGGTCAAACAAGGCCTGTCAGCGTTTATCGTCTTGTCTCAAAGGATACGATCGAAGAAGAAGTTATTGAAAGAGCTCGCAACAAGCTCTTGCTCGAGTTCATCACCATCCAGCGTGGTGTCACCGACAAAGAAGCCTCGGAGATGCAAAACAAAATGGCTCGTGTGGTTGCCGAGCCTAATTCTACAGATGATATCTCTCGGATCCTCAAACGCCGCGGCCAGAAGATGTTCGAACAAACCGACAACCAGAAGAAGCTGGAGCAGCTTGATATCGATTCCGTCCTTGCAAACGCAGAATTACACCAAACTGAAGAGGCTGAGCAAATTCAAGCCGACGGCGGTGAAGAATTCTTGAAAGCGTTTGACTTCGTCGACATCAAAGTTGACGATCTCACGTGGGACGACATCATTCCCAAGGAACAGCTCGAAGTGCTCAAGGCCGAGGAAAAGCGTAAAGATGATGACCATTATCTTGCTGAAGTCATTGAGCAAAATCGACCCCGCAAGCGCCACGCCCCCACGGACACGACAGATTCACGAGAGGAACGCAAGGCGAAACGGCTCGCAAGAGCTCAAGTCAATATCGACGATGGCGAGGAAGAAAGTCCCTCGTTGGATCCCAAGCGTCCCCTCGGAGAAAAAGAATACCGTGCACTTTCTCGAGCATTCCTTCGCTACGGCGATCTGGATGACTCCGAAGATCTCATTCTGGAGGATGCCAGGTTACAAACTCGCGATCGAGGCACCGTTCGTGATGCTCTTCATGAAATCACCGCCAAGGCAAACTCGCTTGTCCAAGCAAGTCTGGACCAATTAGAGGCCATGAAACAATCGGGTAGAAACCCCACGAAGAAAGAACAGAAGGCCGTCTTGTTCGACCATCACGGTGTCAAGCGACTCAATGCATGGACTATCGTTGAACGTCCACCAGATATGCGTCTTATCCGAAGCATCATCAAAGCATTGGCTGATTTCAGGACATTCCGACTCCCTGAGGCTACCAAGTTGGCGGATTACAGCTGCCAGTGGGGTGCACGTGAAGACGGAATGCTTCTTGTCGGCATCGCACGCCATGGGTTTGGTGCATGGACCCAGATTCGTGATGACACTGAGCTTGGCCTTGGCGATAAATTCTTCCTTGAGGAACACCGAGTGGAGCGAAAGACACAGCGCCTGCAGACTGAGGAGAAGGCGACAAAATCACCGGGCGCTGTCCACCTTGTTCGACGAGCTGAATATCTCATGTCTGTTCTAAGGAACAAGTACAACAACAATGCTACAGCGAGAAGGGCAGTCGACAATCACCACCGCAACAACAAGCGTGGCTCACGGGTTTCCGGTAGTGGCAGTGTCTCCGCCTCTCCGGCACCCTCTAGTTCTCGCAGGCCCGAGAATCCCCGCAAGGGCCACCGTGAATCCGATCGATCACGTCCCCGCCCCCACACGCATGGTAGCAGGGAGGGAGACCGTCATCATACTCCCAGCCATGACTCTCGTCCACGATCTGGCCTTGACGATCGTCCACGCCATCGTCTATCCGATGCCTCTAATGACGAGCTTCGTCGCCGCAAAGGGCATGAGAACGGCGGCTCTAATAAAGAAGACATGGCGTTCATGTTCTTCAAGCCTATTGTTGCCAATTTGAAGCAAGTGGCAATGATCACTGCCAAAAATTACCCAAGCAAAAACGAGCGGGCCCAGAAACTTCGCCTTACCCTAGTGAAAATTGGCGAATTCATTCGTAATACTCTGGAGGGCTCGCAATCGATGCCCTCCCTGGAGGTCCGACTCTGGTAAGTTCTCTTTGTTATCACAATTTTTTTTTCACGTTCTGACTTGACTTTTAGGGATTATGTTTCACTCAACTACTGGCCGAATAAAGACGCCAGTGGTGCTAAGCTGCAGCAGATGTTCAATAAGGTCATGGAAGCCAGTAAAGCTTCCAAGGCCTCTAATGGTAGCTCGGCTTGAGGAGTTCCGTATCTCAATGGGTACAGATGTTCTTTGTTTCAGTTCAACTTCACTTTAGCACGGTTTGATGATATGCACGTTCAGCGTTTCTGATATCAAATATCTATCATTTTCATTTTTTTTATGATAGACACTCAGCGTATTTTTTTTGCGATCTCTACTCCCTCTACCACTACAATGTACCCACCTGCAATCTTCTTATATTGGACTCGACATTTTGGAGTCGTTATTGACCATGTTCTAACATCTCGCACAATTCCTTGAGATGCCCCTATCAATGTGACCTTTGTCTCTCTCTTTTTCTCTTTGTTCGTTAAAGGTACATACGGATGCAACCTGTTGCATGGCATTGCAAATGGCGTCGAATTATTGCGTGAGCCCCAACAGCACAAAAAGAAGAATTTTCGAAATGAGCACGGTCTTGGATGATCCCTGCATGGCGTGTTTGGAGGTTTCTTTTGATTATTTTCTATGTTTTCCAGTTGGGGAGTTTTGGACTGGCTCTCCATGGTCTTTTTTTGCCTGGATTGAGCCAATCATATCATATCTCCTTTGCTTTAGTTTGCTTTTCTTGTATGTCGTGGGCATATTAGGGCTTCTACCTATGGAGGCATCCGTAATCAAGGGGCAGTTTGTTTTCTCTCTCAGCACATGTATCTTATGGAGTGGCTGCCATGGCGTCGACTGATTTCCTTATCTTCCTGCTATCATTCAGTGAGGTGTTATTTGACATTCACTTTTATCTTGGAGCCAACGTAAGAAAAGGGCATTTTGGCCTCAATATGAATTACTATTCAAGACTACAACTATATCTGTAAACCATTAAATATAATATAGTACGGCATACGGCAATCTGACATTACAAGGAGGACTTTAGATATCTCGTCCAAGTTTCAAGCCCCGAGAACCTTAGCCTCATACATAGTCTATAAAAATAGGGCTGGTCACCACCTTTTCTCCACTCCACTCTCGGCCAACAAAGTATATCGAGCGTGATCCTATCTGGAAGAATGATGCTTGTCCCTGAACCCGCCGTGGCAGCTCTACTTGCGGGATTGCTTCAATACGCACAAACAGCTCCGCACCACCCAGGATTTCGATGACCTTTCCATCTGGGCGCTTGGCCTCCTCCCAAGAGGCCTCCAGCTCGAAGATAGGCTGGGCTTTGTGGGAGTTTCCAGCCAAGGGGTCTCCAACTTTGACATATCCACCGAGGGAGCCTGCGATACGGATTTTTTGCGGGGGCTTGGTGCCCTGAAAAACAACATTAACACCATCAAGGTCTCCGCTGGTTTTGCTTGAAAATTCAACGGTGCTTTCTCCTGCCTGGCGTGCAAAGTCTTCTGTGTTGTCCTCGAAACCTCCAAATGGCAAAACATCCTCCACGCTGGTATCTGAGACTGTAATGGTTCCGTTCCAAACAGCTTCACGATAGCGGTCGTATAATCTCGCTCCGCCCCATGTCACCCGCAGAATGGTGGCAGGTGCGTCAGACTTGTACCAAAAATGTCTTCGCCAGATCAGGCCAGATTCATCAAAAGCCTCTATTGATGAGAATCCCTTCTCACCAAAGAACTGGTATTTCAGCTCTAGTGTCTCTTGCTTGGCAACCTTGATTTCATCACCCTGGATAGCAGACTGGTCTGCCGTGTGGACCAGTCCTACTAGTCGCTGACCGGTGGTTGCGAAGGTGTGGCGTGCTCTCAACGCATGGGCGATATCCTGCCGCTCGAGCTTGAGGGCAACGATACCAGTGAGACCGCCTCGGGTGCCGAACACTGCTGTGCCAGGAACACCGCCACCACATCGACCACGGTGTTCATCAGAATTAGCAGAGACTCCAAGCTTCCATCCTCTGCGTACTGCATCCCGGAGGAGCCACTCAAACTGGCCCCATGCACTCCCAATCTCGATGAGGCGTTCGAGCTTAGGATGATGCCATGCCAGATTGCACCGGCGTCCACCGACATGGGGAATGAGGAGATGGTCATCTGCCTTGTGCGCATACGTGCAGTATACTTCGTCCAATGGCCAAGCCCCGGGGACGAGGTCCTTGGGACCATGCTCGGACCATTCAAACGAACGGGCAACGTTCCCCTGGCGATCGAAGGGGAATTCGGGCGGGTGTGTAGCGGGATCGGCCAGGAAGACAACATTGTGGTCTCCTCCTGCTGCAGAGTTTCCGCACCATTCGGTCCCTGGGAAAATGACAAACTCGCCCGGCTTATTGAGCGATGTGATTAAGTCTGTTGTGGCATCCCAGCGTTCCTTGGTAATTTGGAAGTCGTTGGCGGTGTATCCTAGAACATCCAGGGCGGCGATTTCTCGGCCATAAGAAAAGTTGTAGATGGATGACTCGGTTCCCACTGTGTCGTCGGAGTGCACGTGCAAGTCGCCGAAGAGGGCCTTGGGAACTGAGAGACCAGATGAGATGGTGAGTTGGGTGGTTTGGGATACAATGATTTTCTCCTTCGATTTAACGATAACCTCAATGGTGTAGTCGCCGTCAACTTCGATGCTGAGACCAGAGAATATAGCATTCGTCCAGCCTTGCTGTGATACAGAACTTTCTTTGACGATCATGGCCTTCTGGTCTTCGTCTAGCACCTTGGAAGGAAAGATTCTCGAGATCACTACTCACATTTCCCCAGATATCCTCGGCATGAGAATGAATGGAAAATGGAACAGAGGGCTGAAGTACGCGAGGAGAAACAGTTTGAAGGTGATGAATGGGACCAGCGACGATGTTCCAAGAGAGGTCAGGCTGAATCGGAGCAAAGCGACTATGGCGGTACAGTCAGCTTTCACCAGATTCAATCGCCGTGATGCTGTCATAATACTACTCACCTAGTCCCAACAGGATCAATGTAAAACCTCCAGCGGAAGTCTTTCTCGATGAATGTCTGGGCCCGCGTTCCTCGGCCGCCGAAGCGACGATCACCCAGTCGGATCAGAATCCGATCGCCTGGGTTCATATAGCCATCTTGAATATCCACAATCACAGCTTTTTGGAAAGGTCGCTCGTGTCCCTTTTGATCAAATCGAATGGCCAGGGAATGAACTGTCGCGGGAGTCTGTTCCGGGAAAAGGCTGTTTGGGATATACTCGGCGCTGATATAGTTGTCTTTTGTGGGATATGATGTCTGGAACAGTACCCAATCCTATCTCGGTCATGTTAGATCAAGTCTGCAGCCTGCTCTATCGGGCTTCTTCACTCACCGAGTAGAATTTGAAGGTGGCCTTTATCCAAGCGCCATCAGCTAGGCCCGATGCGCCAACCTCATAGTCCAGCAAGATCTCCGTCCATTCCCCGGCCACAAGTGTATTAACATTACTTTTTACTCGACCAGTGAAGGGCAGGCTTTTGGTGTACTCATAGAGCCCCTTAGGAGCAAAGTAGTCTCCTGCCAGTTGGTACCGCTCATCAGCAGTTAGATTCTTCATAGCTCCTAGATTATCTATACAGAAGAAACAGAGAAGAAAAAAAGAAATACGTTTAGGAATATAAGCTATATAGTTAGTCCCGACGACACTGCCACTTAAAGAAACGTCACGTATAACTCTATGGAATTGCGCAATCGTCGCCGCACATCTCAACACATCTATGATCTCAACATGGCACGCCATTTGATGTCTTTCCTTCTAATAACTTCTCAAACTTGCCCTTCAGGGTCGATAGGCACTCGGAGTCAGGGCTACGTCCTCTTCAGTGTCCTAAAATTTAGGTCTCTATTGACGACTAGACATGGCCTCTGTCTGCTATGTAGCCTTGCATTATAATTCCCAGATGAGAAGAAAATCTTGATTATTGATAATTGTAGTGATCGCCCATAGTGGTGAGCTGTCACTGAGCCTGCAAGCCAGACCGAAAGAAATAAAGAAAGAAATGAGGCTATTCATACATTCCGTTGCAGGACACTTCTTTTCTGCTTGGGTTGAAAATACACAACGCATTCACCGAAGCCATGAACGCCGGGATATGAGAGGTTTACAAATGAAAAGGTGACCACAGAGTGACACAGTTCTGAGACCAAGCTACCAAAGCATGGTCTCAGGGGAGAGAAGGTTGAGAGAAAGGAGGAGCAAAGCAGGGGGAGGAGAGAAAAGAGAGAAGAAAGGGAAGACAAGCCAACTAAGTGCTGCCCTCGATAGTCGGCACCTCTGCCGACTTGGCCAGCTGCTCCTGTTGATTCTGAAACTGCTGTTGCTGCTGTTGCAACTTTTCGAGGCTGGTCGTTAGGTGCACGGGGGGTACTGAGCCGACCATTGCGCTGAACAAGCCAATCTCGGCGTCAATGAGGTCGTCAAAGATAGCCTCCTTCTCGCGCCATGCTTGCTCGCGCTGCGGGCGAATTATTTCCCACTCGGCCTGCAGCTGTGTGGCCTCCTTGCCAGCCCACGCGATCTGTCGACGGAGAAGACGGTAGAGGTCGCGCGGAGCTAGGGCGAGCTCCGATTCGTCGAAGTCGAGCTCCGGGCCAAACTCTGGCATCGAGGTCTCGTCGGGATCGTGTGCGTCGGTTATGATGGGGGTGGGAGTTGGCACAATAGTGATTGCTTCGGTGTGTGGCTCAGACTCACTTCCCGGCTCCCTGGGCTGGGTCAGCTTCAAGCGGATGCGTTGCAACTTCGAGGCAGGGGTGCCAGTAGTGCTGCCCGGGGTGCCGTGGACTTTTGAGATGGAGTCGATCGGGCGCATAGTGTCAGTCTCGTGAACAGACCGCATGTGCTTGGTCAGGGCATCAGAGCGAGTGAAGTTGCGGTCGCATTCTGTATTTCATTGTTAATACTCGAGATCTGTTTGCTCGAGTCTGGGTCTGAGACAACCTACCCGGCAGAGTGCAGTAGAATGGCTTCTCGCGGGTGTGACTTCGCATATGTGCGCGGAGGGCATAAGCACTAGCATGCGTTTGACCTTTGCGGGTGCAATCCGTCCACTCGCACGAGTACCGTTTCTGTCGGCTCCCGATGTGCTCGTTGTGGAGATGCTGCACCAACCCATCCATGTTGCCAAGGTCGCCAGCATTGCATCCATCCCATCGGCAAATAGTAACCTGGTCGGTGCTTTGGCCGCTGTAGTCATCTTCTTGATTGGTACCAAGGAGGGTAAGGATGCTAGGGGAGTTGGGAATATCGCCGGAGCTATCGGAGGAGATCGAGGCAGTCGGGGAGGGAGGTGGGTGGTTTTCGTCATGGGTAGAGGAGAGAGGAGTTTGACGGTCCCAGGATGCGCCACCGGTGCGACGACGCTTGGATGGCGGCATGTTAGACATCGAGGGAGAATGCGCGCGGCTTTCATGTTTCATGGATTCATGATCTGAAGTCTCGAGGGATCCCACCGAGGAGAGAGGGGAACCGGGAGAGTCTCGTGAAGCCATTGTGGATGGCATAGCTCGTAATGAAAAAGGGAAGTGGCAGCAAACAAATTTGAACTGTCTATTAGCTGTACTGTAGATGTCGCGCGAGGGAGGCCATCGTATCACATCACGTGTTCAGCCGTGGATGAACGGGATCACGTGATTGACTGCGAGGTCACATCTGAACGCTAATCTCCCTCTCTTTCTTCCTCCATGGTCTTATATGTATTCGTTGATCATAATCTTCGTCTCTATCATGCTATTCATAACTTATTAAAACTTTACATTGATTTATTTAGTAATGCTCAGACCCCCCTCTATTAGTACATCACATTGACCCAATGGTAAGCTCGCCTTCGCCCTGCGCACTACCCTATATAATGAACTCTACGCAACACTGGATCCTCTCAACTGCCTTACATACTATATGATGATCAATTCCGAGGAATTATACAATATTGACAATCACCTATTAATGTGAGATTGTATGTTGACTCTTCTACACTTGATCTGACCTATACAAAAACCCATTGGCATTATGCACATATCACATTTCTGATCTATCTCTAATAATAAATATAAAAATTCATGCAGGAACTTCTTAGTATCGAGGCCCAGAAACCGTATGTTCCTCCAAAACAGCATCGATCTCAGCCATATCAGAATCCGTCAGCACCTGTGCACCGCCCATATTCTGAACCACCTTGTCCTTCGTAGTACCGCCAGGAATGGGAATAATAGTAGGCATGCCGGGCTTCTCACTTAGGGTCCGGATCCATGCCAGTGCAATCTGAGCAGGAGCGATACCCTTGCGAGTAGCAAGGCTATTGACCTCGTTGATGAGTTTCAGGTTGTGTTTGAAGTTCTCTTCCTGGAACCGGGACATGTGGTGCCGAATATCACCCTGGGGGATATCGGCCAGCGAGGTCACAGCTCCGGTCAGCACACCTCGACCAAGTGGCGAGTAAGCGATAACGGGGATGTCGAGCTCCGCGCAGGTTTTGGCAATGTCATTATGGAGGATATCGGTGGACCACAACGACATTTCAACCTCGACGGCAGCAATCGGGTGCACCTTTTGTCTAGAGAAGCAGTTAGAATTGAGTTTGTCCATAGGAAGACGACGACTATAAAATCAAGAGGCACATACGCTCGGCGGATCGTCTCGGCATCAACCTCACTCAGGCCAATTCCTCCAATCTTGCCCTCCTTAACATACTCCGCGAGAACCTTTATGGTATTCTCAACGGGGAACGCGGGGTCTTGTCGCGCGCATTCGAAAATGTCAAGCTTCTTCTTGCCATCAAGCAGACGCAGACACTCGTCCACGCTACGACGGATATTCTTTTCCGAGCCATCCGCGGCAAGCTCGCCCTTCTTCAAGCCACCCTTGACACTGAGAACGACCTTGTCTGCATTCTCGGGGTACTTGGTGAAGTACTTGTTGAGCAGGTGCAGAGAGTTGTAATCTGCAGTGCCGTACAGCTCGCCGGCGTTCCAGAAGTTGGCACCCAATTCCAGGGTAGTGTTAAGTGTCTCGAAGCACACCTCCTCTGATGGAGGCTGCGCGTTCCAGGTCATTCCTGATTTTATAATCAGCAAAGTGTCCGCCAATTGTGGGTGTTTGAGAGGGGGATCGCACTCATTGTGCCATAGCCAATAGGGCCGACTTCCTTCCCAAGTATAGAAGACATGGTTGAATATAAATGATGAGCGTAAATTGTTGAGAAGAGATAGTTGGTAGAAAATCGAAGTTGGCGGGCTGCGATGGGCCTTTTATGGGGTTCAAGATGCCCCGCCGTCGGGGTTGGATCGATTGATCGTAGTTACAGGGTTTCACCGCAAGCTTCGTGCGATCACTCCGTCAATGTAAACCATCATTTTAATAACTCGGATTCCGAACTTCTCGTCCGGGTTACCGGCATAGCCTGCGGATTTGTACTGCTAATTTCCGGAGTTGGGATCGGAACACGGAGTTAAGGGAGTTTAGGGAATACCGAGAGTATAGGGAGTAGCGATATTATTACAGTCGTGGACTATAGCCTCCTAATACGACATTAGTAGTACATAGTATATCTTGAAGTTCACATTTTCCAGAATCAATAATCCATCGCTTCTCGTTTCGTAGCACTTAACATCCTCACAGGAATTCATCCAATCCAATCTCATCAGAGCTGTCAATTGCATCCTTCAATCGATGCTCCAACACCTTATACAAAGCATCAAAGGCAGCTGGGAGATCATCAACAGTAACTTTCTTATCCCCATTCCAACCATGCCCAAGCTGAACGTTCTCCACTGGCCTGTTGTAGCTGTGCACGTTCTTCACAGTATGAGTGTAGCTTGCCGAATTGCCGCTATAAGTGGGTGTGTAACTGGTAGAGCTGGAGTAGGTAATCTCCGTGGTTTTTGTTGGATTCATGCTCTCCGAGTCCTGCTTGGTCTTGACGCTGGCAGTGGGCGTGGCGGTTGGTGTTGAGGTTGAGGTTGAGGTTGGCTCTTCCAGGCCCAACCCTTGCAAGATGTCATGAACGTACTTCTGGGTATCTGGAATAAGTCTCTATACTTCTGTTAGAAGTGTGCTTTTTAATGACAGAATGCAATGTCTGAGGGACTAACCGGTGATCGAGATTCAAGTTTACCGGTGTGTCCTTTTTCCATCTCTTCGTCTGCCTGGTGGACTGGATGTGCGTTGACAGTGGAGACTGCCAGCAGTGCTACCACGATGAGTGAGAGCCATGATGCCCTTGGAATAACTTGAGACATTTTGTATGAGTTTGGCCGTATGCTGTGATAAAGTGGATGCTTGAAAATGGGATATTTTCCTGACACTAATAGGAAACAGATAAATCTCAAGCTCACAACTATTATAAGATTTAACGTCTGAAAGGCGGATGCGCGATCCGAAATTACCGAAATGCCAGTCTCTTGTCATTTGGAATGAGGATTTATATAGTACTTGAATGCCGATGTTTACACCCCCAGTGTATCTTCCTTTTTTTCTTGTAGATCAATTCAAACTTTGCTTTCTTCAGCTAAGATGGTCTAAATAAGATGCTCGTCTTACGAGCTCGTCTTGACTATAACAAAATAACTTTTCCTTGAGCAAAGAGTTCCTTCGTGGATCTAGGGGCCTATGTCGATCCCTAATTACGACAGAACGCATTCCAGAGATAAATTCTCCTGCGAATCAAGTGCGCCCGCCCTTGTGAAATCATAATAACTCTGCCAAGAAAAAGGGCTCGCTGGGTTTACAATCTAAACTGACTGGAATGATGGAGTGATACTGTCCCATGCTTGCATACTCCTCTGTTTCAATTTGTCCTCTTTCTAGAGACCTTGTTTGTCTTTCCATGGTCCCATATTGAAAAGTGAGGGGACTTTAGCTCCGATCTATCATAGGCTCCATTGATTGCATTGATCAGGGCATGATCTGTCTTGTATGGGTCAGAAGACACAAGGGATTGCAAGAAACAGTTACAAGATCAACAACATCACCGGCTCACCTGCGCTCGTTTCTTTTCCTGTCTTCTTTTTAACATTCTTCTTTGATGGTTCATTGGTCTCGCCATCAGAGGGAGAATTATGTCTATCATCGCTAACTTCGTCTTATTTATCGTATATAGAATATTTGTTGTTATCCATTCATCGAGATATACAGGTTCATAATGTCATGTCGTTCTAGACTACATCAAATGCAAAAATCTAATCTTGCTAATGCCAACGATGCTATTTACAGCACATCTTCCTTCCAATCACTCAGCTTCCAGGACTGCACTCCATCCGCAATATCCAACCTTAGCGTAGTGAACCGAATCTGCTCATACATTACTGCAGCGGCCGCTCTTGCTTGAGCATGCCAAGGTCCAAGACCACCAAGTCTCGCGTCATTTCGACTGCGCCAAATGCCTATTCGAATTGATCAGCGTGTGGTCAGAATAACATAGAATAGTCAAATACTCACAAGTGGCCAAATTCCGATGCTTGTCATTCTTCGCCCCAAACCAATACTTCAACAGCCCGCCACTAGCAATGGCCTCCTGGTGCGAATGCGCATCGAGATCATAAAGACGGTCCGAGTCAATATCCGGCAACAATATTGATCGGAAAATAACAACATAGTATGACTGCGATTTCCATGTGTGGTTCTCGGCCTGTGAGAAGACTCTCAGCAAATCATACACCTCGGTCCAGTTGAATGATTCGGTGTAGTCAGCGGTGGCATAGTCGTCGCGGATAGGTTTGAGATATGCCAATGCCAATGCAAATAGTCGGTCTTGTCTTTCCAGTGCAGCAATGTCCAGCAGATGGGGGACGCTGTTGTAGGGCGATGCAATGAGTCGCGTATCTGTTTCTGTATCTGGGTATTGCCTCTCGAGCTGCAATTTCAATTGCAATGATGCGGCAGCCTCAAATCTCAAGGGGTCGAATTCTGTAGTAACATGGCTGTGATGCAGGAGTCGAGTTAAGCTTAAGACCTCTTGCCCTTCGTTCTTGTCTGGGAGGCTTTTGCTAGCTGGGACTGGGTTGATGAGGACCGATTTGGCTATGCTAAACGTCATGTTTCGAAATCTCTGTGAATCTAATTTAAAAAAGGTTCTAAATTTGAGGGAAATAAGAAATTGGGGACCCAAGTAGCGCAAGAAATAGGATTCGGCGGAAGTTCGGAACGTGGAGGCGAATCTAAATTTATAGAAAAATTTTATACACGCAATATCGAAAAGAAAACTGCAGGCACAGGCTGTTTATATACACTCCCCTGACCGCTATATACCGTGGATGCTGTACCACATTCCACGATTGTGTGCTTGGACGAGCACGCAATGTGGGCGGCAAATTTGGGATTTGCTTAGGTCGTCGATTGGGTCTGTTGGGTTTACCTCTAACATCCAATTCAACATTATCTTACATAAAGGATCAAATCCTTCGAGTTATTTCTTTATACACGTATTCATTTCACCATCTCTTGCGCTGTGAAGTGATCCCGCCAACATGTCAACGCAGATAGTCCCATACAACTAACTACAGATGTAACCAACCATGTAACTAGTAGTTAACGTGAACCTTGGAACGAAACAACTCAGCTTAAGTCATCCATAGATTCATTCCAGTGGTAAATTCAAGGGTAAGCGCTCCCATCAACATACTCTATATCCTCCTCTACAGGGTCATCAGGCAATACCCCAGGTGCCGGCCATCCCGGTCTTCGATATTTTGACCAATCATGGTCCACTGCATCAAAATCGATCATGTTTTGCCTTGGGGCCTCAAGAAATGCCAACCCAGTAGAGGCACGCGTATATTTGAACCCTCTCAGGCTCGGGAAGGGCAAGTGTTGGAGTAAATCATGCCCCGGGTCAAAATTGAACTCATCTGCTTGGAGTAGAATGAACGATCGATCAAGTTCAAACTGCCGATCGACACAAGTGAATGATACTGTGCGTTCTCCGCGCAGCTTAGGATGCACATAAAGCTTCTGAATATGCTCCTATATATCTTCCACCTTTCCATCGACCATAGCGTCCTCGTGCCAAGGTATGATTAAATACTCGGTGCCTAATGGATCATCTTGGGGATCATCACTGGTCCCGTCCGAATCCACTTCAATGGATGGGACGATGATCTGCTTCAATGTTTGTTTTGCGGCGTTGCTTAGCTTGTTTGTGAGGAAGACCGCAGCTCAAACCCAATTTGTCGCGATGATAGGTAGCCAAAGAGGTAGATCGATAAAAAAATAGTTCGTCCGGATGCCAGACTATCTCTTTGATACCGTGTTTACGAGGGCCAACGTGAGAACCTCACCTCTCCCTGTCAGTGCAAATATCGGAGATTTTCATTCTCATGAAGAATAAATTTGGTCGAAGGAGCTTGCTTGTAAGAACGCTGAACGCCTCGTCCAAGGCAGATAGCGGTCTGGGGAGATAGAGCAAAGGCAGGACTTCATTTTCGATTCTCCCCAATCGAGCATCCCACACACGATATTCATTCCAGAAGTTGACGAGGTCTCGACGGGTCTTCATGCGGTATACCCCACGAAACAAGTTCTAGTGTCATGGGAGGCTTGGTGTACCTCTCGGTCTCCCAAATGAATTTCCTATTTGGCACTGGTGCGAACCTCGAGCGGTACTTTGTTGGAACCGCCTCCTTTAGTCTTTGATACGTATTCTCAACATCCTCGGGTGTTGAGAATACAGGAGGAAGATGACTATATGTGTGTTACTTGGACGACGATTCCATACCGGCATCTTGATCGGGGAGCTGTTTGTATTGGAGATCTAGATGGCCAGCTCGATGGGTAGATAGCGACTGAGAGCAGTGATCACGGCGTTGGCATAGTACTCTCTTCCTAGAATATCTGCCGTCCCAGGCTTGAATGGTTCTTCATAAGGGTCATATAACATCGTTCCCCTCCATCTTTGACCATGGGCCCACAAGGGTCCCCATGATTTATGAACGGATTTGAACAGCTTTGCTTGAGGATTTGAATCGCCAAACTCATTTTCTAGGCCGTCGATATTGAACATGGTTTCTGTAGGGAGCACACGGCTCGTCTTGCGAAAAACCCGAGTCGGGATCCCTGCGTGTGGATAAGAGAATCACCGAGATGCGCCCTCCTTCTCTTCTTGAATATAGATCACGATCTTCAAGAAATCTACCTGACAGCTGACGTTTGGTCGCTTCATTCGCTGCGATGATTCTTGGTCGACCCGATCGGTATGCTAGGATAGCAAGGGCATAGAGATTGCTTTGACTATCACGACGTGGACCTTGTTGGGCGATAGACTCTAGAAGGCGACGTGGTGACCATAAATGGACCTTGACCTCGACTTGATGAGTTGCATTTTCGGCTTGGGCAGATGTACCGTAATACTGGTCGGAATGGGACTTGAGATCGTCCTCGAGTGTTGACTTGACAAGCCCACTAAGCTTCGATGCACATAAATCAGTCAACAAAACCAGGGGCTAAGTGTAATGTGGATCAATGCGATCGTCCGACATAGTGTTTTGGGGCAATTTCTTCTCTGATTTCTCAAGTTGGCGACAACAAATGGGTTGATGCTGGAAACCCTCTCAAATGGAGAGGAAACCTGTCGTCCCCAATCCGTTTACCACCAGGCAAACAAAGAGACTAACTGGCGTATCTTGGCACTAGGATTTCAATATGAAAGGACAAACTCTGATTTTAAATGATTTTAAAGACAGAAAGAATCAGTATGACATCGACTCTCCTCTGTTACAAGGGCCTAGCTCGAATTGCACAATCTGTTTTGGTGAAAGAGAACAAACAGTCAATAAAGGTCTTTTATGTCGGCGTATTAGGATAAAAAAAGGAGATTCACAGGTCCGCCGTTAAAAAGATGTCATTTTGAGGACTGTAGTTCAGATCTAATATACAATCGGGTTTGGTATCACGTAAATCATATTGAAGCTCAGGCCTCCTGACCTTCCCCCCTGAAACGCCGTCAAAATGCCGCGATAAAACAATCAAGCGAGAAATTTAGAAAACAAATGAACTCTTTAACGCTTAGGCGGAGGGCCCATCTTGCCCTCACCCGTATCAGCCTTCCTCTTGAGTGGGATAGCAGGCACCTTGAAGCCGCCATTCTCACTACTCTGTGAATTGCCAGGATTCTGATGAGGAGCTTGAGTAAAAGTCCCGGACTTAAACCACCGATTTTCCTCAGCATCGCGCTTGCGCTTCAATTCCGCTTGCACCTTCGGGTCGACGAGCTCCAGGCCTTGAACGGGTGTGAATGCAATAGTACTAGAGGTACCAGCGGCGCCAGGTAGAGATGATCCGACGCCAGATGCACGAATACCTCGTGCCTGAAGAACACTTGCAGTGCCACTTGCACCGCCCTGGCCAAACCCACGCAAAGATGAGGCAGTGCCACTAGCGGGGGTGTTTGTGCCCCAGCCCTTGTTGTTCTTGCTGAGTCGGGCACGGGTGCGCTGATCGATCTGGGTTGCACGAATGCGACCATCGTCCTGTTGCCCCAGCATGCCCAAGCCAACGGTTCCAGAGCCCGTGCCGTAGCCCACCTCTGACTCCTCCTTACCGAATGCAAGACGGTTTTGTGCCTTCCGTAGTTCCGTCATAGCCACAGCTTCCTTGGCCTTTCGTGCCCGCCAACCACCCCGCTTTCTGGAGGGTTTGTCGTCGGGCGCAGGGAGAGCCTTGGTACCGGCGTTTGGCGCAGATTCGGTGAGTTTCTCCAGTCGCGTATAGCATTGTTGCTTCAGTTCTTCGCCCAGAGAACCGTCCTTGGCGTAATTGGAGACATCCGCGCGGGTAGCGAGTACCATCTTGGCTGCAACAATTCGAATTCCTTGTTTTCTGAGGTCCAGAGGAACCTCTTGGAGAAGTGGCGAGTCGTAGAGGAAACCTTGGGCTCGAACACCGTGATTGGTCGCAAAGCCCAGTCCTTCTGATCTGCGTGATCCTTGTGCACCCAAATTGCAGGACGGGATCTTAGCTAGTTCAAGCAAGCCACCTGTTTGGTTGAGGAATTGTGCAGCCGTTTCCGCCCCGATGAGAGCTGCCAGGTTAGGGGCGATCTGGTTCATGCGAGACTGAATGCTTGCGGTAAGAGCAGCACGCTCATGATCAAGCTTCAAAATCCTATCGCATGTATCGAGAACCAGCTTGAGCTCGGACTCGGTCATTTCCCGGCCTTTGGTGATAGTTGCTTCCATCGCAACTGCCATCAGAGACGGCCCGTCCAAGACCGACTTAAGCGGGACGCCAACCATATTCTCTGATGATGTGGACAGAGCCTTGATGTCGTTGAAGGGGCCATTTTGAATGACGGCAACTGTCTTGGCGTATTTTATAGGAGTGGTGACGAGTCTTTCGAGCTCGGGGAATCGGATGGAGTAATGGTCGCGCAGGACTTTGTGTAGGCGTGTTAGCTCATCGGCGGTTGAAATAGAGCGATCAAAGTCGTTAGAAGCCCCGGCGCCTTCCTTGGAGTCTTCCTGTTGCTCGGGCTCTTCGTCAACTTCCTCGCCTTCGCCCACATCGAAGTCCTCCTCGTCATCCTCAAAGTCGCGTAAAAGCTCTTCAGCGGTCGACATCTTGACTCGGAATTTGTCCGACGGGTCCAATGCCGTGTATGAGGTGCTTGTGATCGTGGTCCCAGAACGCCACTAGGGAAACTAGAAAGAGAGCAACGATATTCCTAAAGTTCTAAGGTGGAAGAAAAGTTGTGATTAGTCATAGGGAAGCTACGTGCGCGGGTGGCGATAAAGACCAGTCACGCAGTTCGGCGATTTCATCGCGGATTCTCTGAGCTGCGGGTCGAAGCTACCCTCGGCGTCACTGGATTTGGCGTGAGAAACCTTCGTGTCAATTTCTGAGTTAAGCGGTCGCTGCGATTTGGTGAAGCTAACTTCATCTTTCAAACCCCTCCTCTTGCCCAACCATCATTACTTGCCCGACAATTTCGACATCCCCGAACCGAACCTCACCTTACAATATTTTAAGTCACAAACCACTTCTCTACCGAGATCAGTCAATACAGCACCATCACAATGGAGGCCTCCCGTGGCCCTCCCCGGGTCAAGAACAAGGCCGCCGCGCCGGTTCAGATCTCTGCGGAGCAACTTCTCCGCGAGGCCGTTGACCGGCAAGAGCCTGGCCTTGAGGCGCCGACACAGCGCTTTGCCGACCTTGAAGAACTACACGAGTACCAGGGTCGGAAAAGAAAGGACTTCGAAGACTATGTACAACGCAACCGCATTAATATGAACAACTGGATGCGCTATGCCGCCTGGGAGCTCGAACAAAAGGAATTCCGTCGCGCGCGATCCATCTTCGAGCGTGCGCTTGACGTCGATCCGACCTCGGTGGTGCTTTGGATTCGCTACATCGAAGCTGAGATGAAGACCCGGAATATTAACCATGCCCGAAACCTCCTCGACCGCGCCGTGACTATCCTCCCCCGCATCGACAAGCTCTGGTATAAGTATGTCTACATGGAGGAGACACTAGGCAACATCCCTGGTACCCGTCAAGTGTTCGAGCGATGGATTTCATGGGAGCCGGAAGAGGGTGCGTGGGGCGCATACATCAAAATGGAGAAGAGATATAGCGAATTCGAACGAGCACGCGCCATTTTCCAGCGGTTTACTGTCGTCCACCCCGAGCCTCGAAACTGGATCAAATGGGCCCGCTTCGAGGAAGAGTACGGCACAAGTGACTTGGTTCGCGAGGTTTACGGTGTGGCTATCGAAACGTTAGGGGAGGACTTCATGGACGAGAAGCTCTTTGTCGCGTATGCCAAATTCGAGGCTAAGTTGAAGGAGTATGAGCGAGCACGGGCGATTTACAAGTATGCCCTAGACCGACTTCCGCGATCCAAGGCTATGCTTCTTCACAAGGCCTACACGACCTTCGAAAAGCAATACGGTGATCGTGAAGGTGTGGAGGATGTGGTTTTGTCCAAACGCAGAGTGCAGTATGAAGAGCAGCTCAAGGAGAACCCTCGCAACTATGACATTTGGTTCGACTTTGCACGATTGGAGGAAACTGCGGGTGACCCAGAGCGGGTGCGGGACATCTACGAACGGGCCATTGCACAGATTCCCCCATCACAAGAGAAAAGACATTGGCGCCGGTACATCTATCTCTGGATCTTCTACGCCGTGTGGGAAGAAATGGAAGCGAAGGACATGGAACGCGCTGGACAAATCTATCAGGAATGTCTGAGGATAATCCCGCACAAGAAGTTCACATTTGGCAAAGTCTGGCTCTTGAAGGCACAGTTTGAAGTTCGCCAGATGCAACTACAAGCAGCACGGAAGACATTGGGTCAAGCGATTGGAATGTGTCCGAAAGACAAAATTTTCCGTGGCTATATCAGCATCGAACGCCGGTTGTTCGAGTTCGCGCGGTGCCGCACTTTGTTCCAGAAGCAAATTGAATGGGACCCCTCCAACAGCCAGTCGTGGATGCAGTTCGCGAAGCTGGAGCATGATCTGGACGACGCGGAACGGACAAGGGCCATTTACGAGCTTGGCATCGAGCAACCGACCCTTGACATGCCCGAGCTTGTGTGGAAGGCATACATTGACTTTGAAGATGAAGAAGGCGAGTATGACCGAGTTCGACAATTGTACGAACGTCTCCTTCAGAAAACCGATCACGTCAAGGTATGGGTCAACTACAGCCGCTTCGAAGCCTCTGTGCCGGGCGAGGAAGAGGAGGAAGAAGAGGAGGGAGGTATTACCGAAGACGCAAAGGCCCGTGCGCGTGCAGTCTTTGCTCGGGCACACAAGGTGCTCAAAGAAAAGGGTCTCACGGATTCTGTAAGTTGCTATTCCCATAATTTACACAGTGTTCGGCTTATTCTAACATGTGTACAGCGTGTGGATATTCTCAACAACTGGCAAGAATTCGAGCATGCAGTTGGATCGCGTGAGGATATTGAAAAGATCGACAAACAGATGCCCCGACTTGTCAAGAAGCGCCGCAAGTTGGCGGACGACCAGTACGAGGAGTACACAGACCATGTCTTCCCTG